AGATTAACATAGATTTTGAAGTTTATCTTGTTTTGCCTTGCAGCTCTGTATATGTGAAAAATACAGTTTATTCTGCATAAACAATAAAGGGCAAGAAAGTGAACTTCTGGCCAACACAAAGAGATGGTCTGGACAAACGGTAGGAAATGGGTCACTGCAGCTGTGTCTGGTTTGGTTTGGAGGCTGTGAGAGAGAAGGAGGTGAAGAGGAGAAAATTTCAGCAATCAAAACAGAAGACAGGGCCTATATGGGCATACTTTGGGATCATGGATGGAGTGAGAAATCCAGATTTCATGGGTGTTGTGTTGCATCACAGGAAGAATTATGGGATTATCAAGAGGGAAAGAAGGAACGAAATGAGAATTTGGGGGAATATCATTAGCCACACATACTCTCTGTAAAGTTCTACCCAAAACTTTAGGTCTACTTTCCCTGAATTACTTTGTGCTTATTTTAGAGAAGCAGGGGGAAAACAGATCAAGTAGACAGAATATGACTGGAAGTCATAGCAAAGAAGAATAAATGAGGAACAGACACTTTAGAACTTTCTGATCAACGAACGTCTACTGTGTTCACTGATTGCTCTGAGTAGATGATTCCCATGTTATTTAGGATAAGTGTTAATCCCCCTAAGTATTTTTCCTCTCCCAATGCCCACCTTCCTTTCTTTGCCCACGTGGCACTTAGATCCTTTCTGCCTACCATGATCTCCAAGATAAAAAGTTTCCAACCTCTCAGGTAGGTGTCTCAGAAACCTTATGTCCTCCCCAAATTTTAGAGTTTTTGACAGCCTCTCCTCACTATGTTCTGCACAGATGTGTGACAGCAAAGCTATTCTTCCTGTAGTGTTAGCTTTGAACAGTGTTAACTTTGAACATTCATCCATTTAGGAAGGCAATCCTACTGAGACTTCACATTCAAGAGCCTCATGTCTCTGTTCCTTCTACATTTTTAGGAAAACTGACTTCTGATGCCACTGACCTATTTCTCAACTACATCTTCAAGTTGCATCTGGGATGTGTCAGCACTGCCAGAGGCACTTCAGCAAAGTTCAAAAGAAGAGATAAATTGCACTCTGAGACAGTGGAGAACTATCTGCACCACGTGTAATACACATGTTAGCATGTATTATGTATGCCTATGTTATATGTATTATGCACAGCTAACATTTTCCACTTTCCTCTCTTTAATAATGAAAATGTCTCTAACAGAGTTCTGCTCTCATCTCCTTACCCTGCTCCCTTACATTTGATAGCATTTAGAATAAGCAATGCTCAGCCTTTTTTTCCCTTGCTGGTGGACACAGCAGTCAGTGTGATACCATGCCCTCCCTTCACCCTCTTTCTACCCCTCCCCAGCTGCAACCAAGCCAGTGGAGGAGGAAGACTCTCACAATCAAACCCAGAAAGCACGTACTGAAAGCAAATAAGGTTGCTAAGGAGCTGCAAAAATTATCTCAAACCTACAAAATCCAGGAAGGAGAAGGGAGTTCATATGTTCTGCTCAAACACACCACCACACATTGCTCAGTGCTCAGTCTGTCACATTGTAATAGCACAGAGCTAAGGCTGTGATTTTGTGCACCCAGGACAGATTCCCAAAAATGTAGGAATCCCAAGAACTTAGCATTTTTTGCCACTCAATATCTACCTCTCTTCCTACTTGTTATAATCCCACCACACATAAAAAGAGCCAAGTAAACTCACAGTGCAGGTAGGCTATAAATTATATGTATGTCATTAGTTATCTATAATGACAGTAGCCTAGTTAACAGCAGCAGTGAAGATCCAGCAGCACAGCTGGGCAACACCAGCAGACAAACCAAGGGTCTGAGGAAGGCACAAACTGTACCCTCCTTGCCCTTGTCATCCTGCCAGCTAGACTAAAGACAACATACTTTGACTGCTGATCTGCCACTCCACCTCTGTTTTCCCACACAGGTACAGCCCCAGGAGCCATGCTTTGCTCACAGGGATTTTCTTGAAACCAAATTTATTACTACACTCAGCCTGTAAATAAAGTATCTCCAGTGCATTGGGAGGTGAGAAGATGAAAGGCAGAGGAAAGGGGTGAACATGCCAGTTATGCCTTGCCCATGCCACACAGACCCTGGGGCCACGTTTCTGTGTTTTCAGAGCCTGGTGAACTCTGGAAAAGCAAGGGGCAATCGAGGTAAGGCAAACCCCTTTCATCAGCTGCCCTTTGAGCACTGTGTGTTCTGTTCCCCATGCACACAGCTTCAGACAAATCTCCCTACACTTTGAAAGACTCTGGGAAATAAGAACATGCCACTAGAAAGGTTATATTTAGCCTTCCTATCACCACTCACCTTGAGTTAAATCAGATACTCAGACGGTAGCAATTGCCTACTGTGCAGAGGTGTGCCTGAAATCACATGAGCCACCAGCCTTGTGGCTTTCACAGCAAGGCTGAACTTCACTGAAAGGCATGAGGTGATAATTTGGTTTCATCCTGTCTTGTCATACAGAGATCAGAGTGGTTCATTTCTGCCATGAAATACAAGAGAATTTTCACTTCCTACTCAAGAATTTGCACCAAAATTGCACTACTTTGTGCAGTACAAAGTATTTATTAGAAATGGAGCAACTTTTAAGCCTTGCTAACAACATAACTTGAAAGTGATTAGCATGAAAGAGCGTAACTTAAATATCCTAACACTACATCCAGGAGACTTTCTGCTTGTCTCACAGATCTAATGCATTTTGTTCACCATGTGGCTGTATTTCACCAGTACGAAAGCTGCAAGCAAGAGGGTATTCACACAAACAGCCACACTTGTGGGCCATCAGGCACTTCAAGTTCCACCTCTACTCAGCAGAGACAAAAGACCCTGCAAAGGGTGAATAAACACACCTGGGTTCTCCCCACTCAAGGACTTCTCATCTCTTTGTAGCTGTGCAGTAACCACACTCACGTGTTGGAAGGTGTAGTAGCTCTCACCTGTCTGACTCCTCTTCATACAAGGAGCAAACCAGCAGCAGCATTAAACAAAATCCAGGATGGAACAGCTTATCTCTGGGGCCTACAACTGAAAACCGTCGCAGTTTTTGTTAAGAGGCAACAGGATGTTAGACGATCTACACTACTGCTACAAAATTAAGCTTTTAAATACCAAATTAAGCACCAAAATTAGCTTCCAAATTAGGAAAATACAACTTATAGTCTTTTGCAACTATGGCCATGCTGTCTTTTATGAAATTATAGTCTTTAAGTTTGTAAAAGATTGTAAGTTTTAAAAGACAGTATGCCCATCAGTATGATTCTTGTAGTTATTACTAAACAGCTTTCAGAACAAAGTCTAGTGATTTGTACTTCAGAAAGAGACAGTGGAAAATACAAATCTGAAGTAGCTTATGGAATCATCAATTTCTCCAACACATGGTTATAGATCAGAGAAAAGGATTTAGAGAGAGCCATACAAATACACTGATGATAAATATGTTTGTGCCTCCCAAACAGTCCCTAACTTTTAAAGCCCTTTCTTTTTCACACTACATATTTTACCAAATGAGCACAGCAAGAATGTCATGTGTGGCATTTGCACAGCCACAGTTTTGGCTCAGCTCTCCTGTGAGGAAAGCAAAGCTGCCCAGCAGCTTCCACCCAGGATGCAGAAGACAATTGAAAATAACAAACCAGCTATTTCTGATGTGACAGTTCAGCTGATTAGAAAACTAGCAAGAAAAGATAACGTATTAAAAACATAACTAGGATGAGCAAACTTGCTGTGTTTGTGATAAAAGTGTGTACACTTTTATCATAATTATGCTTAAAGGGCAGAGCAACAGCTTCCAGAGGGCCAAGCAGAAGTAAAAAAGCCATTTTTTTCAGTATGTTCCCAAACAGAACACCACACCAAAGTCTCACTAAGCTCTTAAACTCTCATCCCCTTTACCCAAGTCTTTAGATGAGTCTTCACTAATCAGCAGCACGAACCTGGGAGGCAAACAGGATAAGAAGAAAAAAGACCTATAAAAATTTACCTTTACGGTTGCTTCACATACTTCCATTCTGGGCACAAATCAAGCAGTAAAGATTGAAATTCAAACTGGAAAGGGTTCATTTATGCCTAAAGTAAATATCAGGTACTTTGCTACCATGGTGATGAACACAGTAAAACCACCTTAATCACTCCTGATTCTGCCAGTGTAAAACAGGGCTTGGTGCAATAGTTAAAAGCAGTCTGACATCAGACATGTATGCATGTGTTGTGAGTTCATGCTTTAGAAATGGTTTATAGAGTGTTGCAGTTGTGCAAAATCTGAGAAACATAAACAATAAATAAATGGGGAAGTTGTGTATGTTATGCACATACACTGCTCTGGTCCCATACAGGATTTCTAGGAAGATTGATCATGGGCTCCCAACACAGCAATAAAATTGAAGTTACTGGGGGAAGGGAACCTCAGTCCATCCCACTCTGATCGGTCTGTTGCCAGGGCCAGCAAGAGATTCCCAAAGCCTGGAGAGGGACTGCAGGTCAACAGAAGAGCCACCTGGGAGGGCAGCATAGAGGAATTTCAGCCCCTCCCACCATCAAGTTGCTTCACTGGGGACTCAAGTGCCTCTATGCTAGAGCCCCTTCCAGTACCTAAAGGGGACCTAACAAGAGAACTGGAGAGGGAGTCTTTACAGGGGCATGTAGGGACAGCACAAGGGGGAATGGCTTCAGACTGAAAGAGGGTGGGTTTAGATTGAATATTAGGAAAAAATTCTTCACTGTGGGGGTGGTGAGGCACTGGCACAGACTGCACAGAGAAGCTGTGGACTCCTCATCCCTGGAATTGTTCAAGGCCAGGCTGGATGGGGCTTTGAGCAGCCTGATCTATGGAAGGTGTCCCTGCCCATGGCAGGGGGTTGGAAATAGATGAACTTTAAGGTCCCTTCCAACCCAAACCATTCTATGAAAACTGTTTGGGAAATGAGTCACCTGCTTGACTAGCATATATTTGCTAATACCAAGAGAATAAATACTCAGCTTTGGAAAACTAAGCAAGTTATATCACATTTTTTATTTTAAATAACCAAGTTCCATGTTAAAGCTCCATACCCCAAAGTTCCCTTTAAAATGATAAACCATTAAAAATATCTTTCTTATGAAACTAAATCTAAGAGTAGCTCAGTCTTATGTCTGACAATTTATATTACAATGCATACTAAACTTGAAGGTACAAGGAGTTTCCAAAGCTGTTCCAGAACTATCAAGCTGATTTTGACTTTTTGGGACTAACGCCACCATCTTCAGCTGACTTCCCTGCTGGCCTCTTTCTTAACCCTTTCATCTTCCGTGTCTGCAGTTTACTAAGATCTTGTTTCTGCATGTGGATTCGACCATAAGTTGTACCAAACACATCATGGGAGATATTCTTTTTCTTCTTAGGCTGCAAGAGAAGAACAATGTTAGTATTCCTGAGTACAGAGTCCCAGGAGCTCTGGTGGGAATCAAGTGTCTGTCTAAAAGCAAGGCCTCATACATTGTTTGGAGTTTAGAGATTAAGATCTGTGCTGTATGTGCTAAGCAATTCCAGAAGAGAGTTTGGATGCCAGCTGATCACCACAGCAGTGCTGTGACCCCAGAAATCTCAGTTGGCCTAGATAGGAGTAAGCTTTGGTCAAATATATAATAAATAATACTTCAGCTTTTGCCCTTCTGCACAGATAGATCTGAAAGTAATGCACATTGCAAGGCACATACCTTCAGGGCTTTTGGTTGTTTTAAAGACAGCTTATAAAGGTCATCTGAGGCTAAATGTGTCCTCCTCATAACCAGATCTAGTGAAGGTCCCATCTCTTCCAGTTCAATTCTGGGTATTTTACAGCCAGACTTCTTCAGTAGCACTCTAGAAGGGAAAAACCAACCAAAATCAACATTGTCCTTTGTGGTAACGTATTTATCCATCCTCCTAAAGGGAAGGTTCAGTCCTGCAGCTCAAAATACTGTTATGTCAATTGTTACTACTAACTTTATTACTGAGAAAGACATCTGTCAGTAACAATTTATAATATATTAACTCTGCCCCATTACAATTTGCACACACACAAAAAATAACTTGGTTAATGTAATTTATTGGGTTTTTTAATGAGACCAGTATAATAATTCTACTGTTAAAACTCAGCCCCAGTATTCTGAAAGCCATATCGCTCCTCAAATTCAAAACAGCACCCTGAGTATGAATAGACATGAAAAATATTTATTAGCATTTACAGCAAGATAACCTGAGCACTATCCAAGAAAGTGTTTTGGCTCTTTTAGAATGAGACTGATAAAAGTGGTTTTGTTCTAAGATAAATCAGAATCACATGGAGCACAAGCCATGAATGTTCACAGCCTCCTAAGGCAGGACATGAACTGTGAGGGTGAACACCAATGCAGCAAGAAAGATTGCCTTGTCCTGCCTTTTTCAGTTTTTCCTTGTGTGTCTCTGGCTGCAGCCTACAGACCTGTCATTCTCTGGCAAACACCTAAGTGAGGAGAGTCCTAGAAATCAGCCTGAAAACAGACTAAGTCTATGAAATCTAAGAAAGTACTCAGAATTCACCAAATTAATTCACACCACCTTACTAATGAATGAGGAGTAAGAAATTGCCACCTGAAAGAGCAATCCTCCAAGCCAGGAGGAGAAGCTCAGCAAGGAAGAAGGCAGAAGGTTTAAGGATTAAGTGTTTTCCTTCTGCTGTACAAGTTACTCTGTGTTATGCTGGAGCAGGTCTACACATTTTAAATGCAGCTCAATCCAGTTCAATTACACAACTAAGGGTAAAATTTGGACAAAAATTGACAAGTGTGCCAAAAGGCAAACAAATTGATAAACCACATACTCACTTATAGCTTCGCATGTAAATTTTGCCATCTGCAGCTGTGAAGTGCAGAACATACTCCAAACCAGCCAAACGAATACTGGGCACAGTAGGACCTCTGAAGAAATCTGAAAGAATATTTAAAAGAGTAAATGACAGGTTTCTTGGCTGCAAATAAACCCAATAGATGGCTAAAACAAATTGGTTTATTTCAAAATGGACCCACATCACATCACTGATGTGAACTCCTTTCCTATATTTTTCCTGCATCTAACCAAGCAAGACTATACATGGTATGGCTCTAGAAGAGCCAAATGGCCAGTGGGAGTCTCATGAAATAGCTGCTACTTAAAACTGCAGCCTGGCCAAAACACAGGAGAGAAACTCAATATTGCTCTTGTTAGGGTCATCACTGCATCTAATGTTTTCTTTCTTTAATAAGCAACACATCTATAGAAATAATACACTTGAAATACCTTGCTTAGTTTGCAAAGAGAACACCAAAATGCAGGTTAAATACAAAACGAGCTGCCTCCAGCAAGGTTCTTGTATCAGGTATGAAAATACACTGTGCAGAGAGCTTGCAATGAGCACAGCGATCTGTCCAACATATGCAGAGGGTGGAGAAAGAATGTGACCTTGGCCGAGGGAACAAGGTGTGCTAATAAACATGACAGGGCAATGCTGAAACATAGAACTGCTAACACATGTAAAACACATCAGTCTTTCTCATTCTGTTCCATTTTCAGATCCCTTGGCTAGCTGTCTTTTCCTCCACTACCTTTTTTCAAGAGTATCAGCACTGAAGTAACATCCAAAACAAAGTCTTGCTGGCAAATACCAGCTGGAGTCTAGCCAGGAAATTTCCTTGTTCAATTAAATACTCTCTTTCTTCTTCTTTTGAGTCGAGCTTGTAGTTGGAGGAAAAGTTGCAAATAAAACATGTTGTTCACTTGTGCTGTATTTTTCCCCTTCAACTGGTTCTCTGCAGGTACACAAACTTACATTTACAGTGGTTTTACTGGCAACACCTCCCTTTCATATTTTCCTGTGGCATCATACATCTTGTTACCCAAAGGATGATCTCGTCCAATAAATGCAGGTGGTCAGGAATTTCTGTTTCCTGGCAATGCTGAACAGCTACAGAAACCTTACACTTCAGTATACCCAGAGAACTGAAGGTTTTGTAATGTACTCTTAATTTACAACTCTGGCTTTGGTTGGACTAGAGACTGGCTTTCTCCTTTCTTTCCATTCCTAGTTCTCTCTCCCTTTTGTCCTCAAACATGTTTCCAGAACTTCTAATTTACTCTTTCTTGCAGAGAGTTTCACACAACCTTTCCCTCTCCAGACTAAATTCCTAAATTGGAACACAAATCTATACAGTTCTTTCTGTATCAATTCATATCCAAAAGCTGGTAACACTGTGATCTATGTAGCTATGGTTAGCATTAGCTCAGTTCAAACTCTATGCCTGATATTTCCCAGCCACCCCCTTTTTGGCCAGAAGGAGCCCAGAGATCTTCTGAGAGACACTGAAAAGTCTGTGTGAGGAAGGCTGTGTGAGGAACAAGGTGACAGTCAATCTGAAATTGCAGAGCTCCCCTGGAACTCAAGGTTTCACAAGCTGTATAAGCAGGCTCTGTAGTGCCAAGCCATTTTAGGATGAAATGGCTGTGCAGTAACAGAACGAGCAGCCAGTGTTGTGAGAGCTGAAACATTTTATAAATACAAGTATAAAAAGTTATTAGAATTTCATGAACTGCATTCCAAGGACTTGCACTGTGAATGAATTCCTACACTACCACATCTGAGGGGAATGAAAATCAAAAGAGAAAGAATGAGATGTCTTTGTCTTCCAGGTCTCTGAAGGAAATAATTTATTTCTCCTAAATAAATTCTTCCACTTCACAGTTTACCAGACTATAGGGTTAGGTTACCATGAAGACAATAGTTCACTCTTGCCTTTAATTTTACAAAGAAACTGCTGTAAGATGATATTCCAAACATGCATAAGCCCTTTTGATATCACAAAAGCCAACGAAAGCTTTGGTTGCTCACCAGCATCACTGGCATCACACTGCTTTGGCAGCAAGAAGCTGTCAGCTATCTAATACTCCCTCTGGGATCCCAACAATACTGGTACAGTGACAAAATACTTGCTGCTGCTGTTAGAAAGACATTTTTATCTCTTTCTTAGCAATAGAGTGGCCACTCAAAGGCACCATCTTTGGCAGAAAGGGAACGAGTCCGTTCTTCCCTATCTGTTACGGGCAATTTTGAAGCAGGTCAAATAATTACCCAATTTTAATTGGTTACTGATACCTTCAAGCCTTTACTCTCCTTAGTCTTTGTTTTGCACCTCGGTACTTCACAGAAGTCAGCAGAACAATTAAGCCCTGGAGTACTTGATGTACATTCAAGAAGAAAGATTGGGTGTCGAGTACATTTGGCTGCAGAGTCATTAATGGCAAAAGATTAGGCCAGGAGAAAGGACAGATGAACATCAAAAGAAATGGGACAGGAAAGCCTAGTCAGTTGGCAACTAACTTAAAATGCATGTCTTCCATTTAAGCTGTCTGATCACGGGGTGCATGAGCACATCTGGATGCCAATCACCAACACTGTGCAGATGCCTGAACAAGATGTGCTTCAGAAAATAAATGCACCTGCTTTCTGCAGTGTAAATGCTCATTACAGTTACAAAGATATGCAGTATGGCAACTCACTTATCCATATGTTCAATATTCACCCACCTTCCAAGACTTAAGAGCTCCATTACTAGCCTTTCCTCCATCCCCAAGAACCAATCAGATGGACTGACAGGATGAAAATTCTCTTCTGCTCCCTTTCACTCTCATTCCAGATGAAACATCTTGCTATAAGGAATTACAATGCTAAGAGGAAAATTTCTCATTTTCAAGGTCTGTTTCTAAAGAGCAATCATTATCCTGTTTGCCTAGAAACTCAAGAATGGAACTGAAAGAACAAGAATGTTCTTATTGGACCAGCTGCAGTATTTTATCAGAGCTTAACAAAAAAAAATTTTTTAAAAAATATTAAAAACCTACTTTTAGGAAACCTATTAAAAAGAAAAAACACACCACCCTACTTACTAGACCTAGTTCTACCAAGCAAGAAGCAAATTTTAAGTGTCAAGACATACAGTACTGTATGACTTCCATGTCTGACAAAGCTACCTCAGAAACACTGCACAATGTGCTTTATCTCCCAGAGCCTCCAACCTTGAGATAGGAAAAACCTTTATGCCAGTTTGTTTGCTACACTCCAAGCCTGCCTTGAAGTTAGGGCACAGCTATTCTCTACAGTTGATTTTTACTGCATGTGCTCTTTCCAAGTACTCTAATCAATGGCACGTTTGTTAGAACTGGTGGAATTTCCAACAGAAAATGCTTTCATTACAAAAAGAGAAGCTCAATTATACTGAATTCACTTTTTTTTAAGCAAAAATGAAAATCCAGTAGAATTACAAGGCCAAGACATTTTTTAAAATTACAGTTTTCCCACAATCAAAATACAAAACTTCAGTGGACACAAAGTTTCAGCTTCAGAGTCTTTTAGGCTAGTTTTTTTCCCCGCTACAATAGTCATAATGATTAGTTAACTTTTATTCCATGTGACATGAAACTTCAAAGTGCCTGCTCTTGTTTTCTTTCTGTGCTGGACACACATTTATTGACAAACCAGCATTTCCCAACAGATCATATTCCTGGATTTATGCAATCCTACTGCTCAAACAATCAGAATACTGACCAATAAGAAGGCTCTTCAGTCTTCTGTATTCTTCATTTACATCAAACACGTCACCAGCAAATATCAACATAGGTTTTGTTCCTTCAGGACATTTACTGTTCTGTGGAATAATGGTTTTAAAACAACAAAAATCAGACTGTTTTAGGGAACAGATTATTGACTTGACAAGTGCTCAGCCTTTCAGCACTGAATGAAACAGTGCTGTGACCTGTGATCAGTGTGGACAGAATAGACACTTTTTTTCTCACTGAACAGCACTGCATGTGTATGGAAGGAGTTTGTTTTTAAAAGGGTGAGTTGCATTATTCTTGGTGCTGGATTAAAGAGAGCTTCTTTACTATGAAATGTGTAAGATGACACCTTCCAGTGAAAAAATAAAGAGGGAATTTGACTGCAGCTATCAACAAGAAAATTAAAATTAGAGGCACAGAAGTCTATTGCACTTCTGACACTGAAGAGTACATGTAAAAGGCTAAAAGAACAGTTTAGTTAATTACCTAATTTTAATTCTAAGCAACAAGTACATTTATTTAACTATAATTTCCCTGCTCTAAGGAGTGTTATGAAAAGACACTCTAAAATCTGACTTCAAGAGAAAGATTCACCTTTATAAACCAGAATTTATTCACTATCCTTCTAGACTGTTCTGTCAATTTATACACTGTGATGAGAATAAGTACCATAAAAAATCTTTGGTTTTTCCAGTGCATGAACTGTTTGATACAAAAGTACACATATATGAAATATGCTTTAGTCTTGCCAAAATGACCCTAAAATAGCCATAAATGTGAATTTTCTCTGGGTTTAAACAATCAAGACGTTAATTCCTTGTCTGAATTAGGTATAGTTCCCTGAAAACTGGCATTTATGTGCTACCAAAAGCTAAAGCTAAAGCTTTGGAATCATCTCAGTCAGCACAGTGACCCTCTCAGGTTATAATTTTGTGAACAAGGACTTCAGTTTTCAAAGCCTACACCAGTTTATACAGGAACCAACCACGAGCAGAACCTCACAGTTTTGTAAATACAACTCTTTAATTAAAAGGAAAATATTAGAAATAAACCAAGTCTAGAAAAATCATTTGCAAAGAAAGTTGCAAGTCTGCTCAAAGAAACCAAAATCAATTAAAAAGCAGAGCACAAAATTACCATTCTGGAGTACACAAATCAGCAATCCTCACATACTGCATGGAACACTTGTTTAAACAACTGTCCTTACTTCAAAGCACGGAAAAAATGCACTAAAAAAATGCACCAGTAGGTGTCACTGAGATCCTACATCAGCGATTCCTTACCTTGACATCTTTTAGGGATACAAACTTCTCAATGCCTAGCTCAATCATGTCCAGGACACGATAGTCAAACATGCGACCTGTGAGGGTAAAACAGAAGGAAATCCAGCTATTTAAATATTCACTGAAAACTAGACCTGTCATCCAAATAAAAAGCCAAGTGAGACATTGTACCTATTATCAAGTTGTTGGGTCGCTTCTTGTTATGAGAGCCAAAAAGAAACAGGGAACAGTCTGATTTCTTGGAAAAAAACTCCTGCAATTGAGGAAAAGAACAAAACTCATGAATTCCAGGTTGCAGGGTTTAAAGTATCTGCAAAGGTATAAGTGCACAAGCACATCAGTTTAGGAGCTGCTCAATGAGAAGAGCAACTGCACTTTCCAGAAGAGTTTTGAGCGTGTCCAAGTCTACTTAAGCTAAAATTGACAGCTGGACTCGAGGTTCAAATAGCTTCTTTTTTATTTCCCATTGTGTCTTAAAGGTCAAGTTAGGCAATTTTTTTCTTGCCATTTTATCTGTAACACTCTCTTTCGTAATTCCTCACCATTTGCTTTTACATAAGATACTTTCAACCACTTCTCCTTGCCTGAAGAGTATTTGCAAGTTGGCTGCAGGTGTAATGTCTCATTTTAGTTACCCAACTAAGCTTTATGCAGTGCATTAGCTTTTCCTAACAGTCTCTGGATAACCAGTTAATTCTGTTCACAGCAAGTCTAGGACTATATGGAAAATCTAACATTCTCACATTTAGCACAAGAGTCCTACTACAGAGCAACTTCACAACAGTTTATTATTTAAGACTAAGATGCTACTTAAAACCAACCCAGGGGTGACTATCACAGAGATCTTTTGTCCAGGTGGAGTCGATAGGGAGACCAAGACCCACTACAACCTCCTTTCAGGCAGTTGTGGGGAATGATAAGGTGTCCCCCTTGATCCTACTTTTCTCCAGGTAAACATCCCCAGCTCCCTCAGCCACTCCTCACTGGACTTGTGTTCCAGGCCCTTTACCAGCTCTATTGCTCTTCTCTGGACACACTCCAGCACCTCAATGTCTTTCTTGTACTGAAGGGACCAAAACTGAACACAGGATTTGAGGTGTGGCCTCACCAGTGCCCCATACAGGGGAAGGATCACTGCTCTGATGTTGTTGGCTACACTATTGCTAATATAAGCCAGGATGACACTGGTCTTCTTGGCCACCTGGGCACAGTGCTGGTTTATGTTCAGCTGCTACCAACCAGCACTCTCAGTTCCTTTTCTGCTGGGCAGCTTTCCAGATACTCTTACCCCAGCCTGTAGTGCTGCATGGAGTTGCTGGGACCCAAATGCAGGACTTGGCTCTTGGCCTTATTGAACCTCATACAACTGGTCTTGGCCCATCAATCCAGCCTGTCCAGATCCTTCTGCAGAGCCTTCCTACTCTACAGCAGATCAACACTCCTACCTAACTTGGTGTCATCTGCAAACTGACTGAAGGAGCACTTGATCCCCTAGTCCAGATCATCAATAAATATATTCAGTAGGAGTGGCCCCAGTACTGCTCCTTGAGAGACACCACTGGGGACGAGTCCTGATTGTTCATCTTCTGGCACATGAGGACATCCTGCTCCAAAATGTTGTAAGAGAAAATGTTGTTTATACTTACCAATGATGTTTGATCCTCAAAAGGCCTGGTAATATTTTTCCTGAAAGAAGAGGGAAATAAGTTAAAACAAAACAAAACAAAATAGAGAGAACAACAGACCCATATAAGGATTTCTAACCAGTTCCCTGATAATATTAGAATTTTGCATTCTACTGGAAACTGGCAGTACAGGCTCAGTTTTAGTTCAAACCACAAGTCATATTAATGCCAGGAATACCTTAGTGCCACCATTGCCATTCTAAGTACCTTCCTCCACATCTCCTCTCTCCTGGGGCCTGATTTCCAGACCACCACCAGCAGTGACACTCCATGAACAACTGCCTTGGCCTGTTCATCCAATATAACTATTGCAATGAATGTCTCTGCACTACATCCACGCAGATACTGAGAATGGGAATAGCTGAATCCTGACCTACAGCTGAATCTCACTTGCCATGGAACAGAGCTCACCACCAATGCTGATCACGTGTAGCTCATTTCCAGTCTACTGAAAATGATGATCAATCTCAATCACCTTCTGCAACCCTTGTCATTGTTCAAGCCCCCACACCTCTAGTCATGCTCTGAAATTCCCCAAAGTTGCAAGTCCTGTCAGAAGACTCAAACATATCAAAGTGAGAACACTTACTTTTTATACAGTACAGCAAAAGGTTTCTTCACAGCATACTGCAAAACACAAAGTTAAACACGTGTTATAGCTACAACATGCACAGCATTGCTTTTTCTATAACCCTAAAATTTACATGGTAACATGAAACAGTAACTGTGCAGATGAGTCTAGAAGAAGGCACCTCAAAAGCCCTGCTCACAGTAACACCCTTCCAGCTGGTGACAATCTTGGTTCCAAATTAACTGCAGAAAGAGTTATTTGTAGAAATAACTTGAGAAATAAGGAAATAACTGGGAAATGGCTGAAATCCAAGCCATGTAATGCAATCCCTCTGCTTCTAAGGGCATTAGGAAAAACAGGGAGTGATGGACAACCTGATTATTAGTGGGGTAAGATGGTAAGAAAACAGCAAAGCAAGGAGAGAAAAGAGTGTAGAAACAGCAATAATATTTTCAGCTATGGAGTTAGGAGACTGAATTGGTAACTTTAAGTTTTAGGAGAGTCTGAAAGCTCCATATCAACACACACAAGCAGTTTACAGAATTCTGTGATGTGACTTAGCTCAGTGACACAATCCCAATTCTGTACCTAATCTTGTTTTTGAATGCACTTGGCAACACTTCACTTTATATACTGGTCAATCGTGGACAGAAAATAACACAGAAAGCAAGCTCAAAACTTCTGGCAAATAAGAAACTGTAAGAAAATAATTTCCATTGAGAAATAGCTAATGACAACTTTGGAGTACTGGGCAATTCAAGACTTGGGGTACAGGGAAATTATGAAAATACTGAGCTTGCAGCAGAGAATGTGCAAACTGTAACAAAGAGAAATGAAAGTTGAATACTACATCCAACAACTTACAATGTCTTTAAGCACTTCTGTCACTGTTAAGTTTGCATTTCCACCTTTTATAAGCATAGCATTTTTTGTATTTTCTTTAAGTTTGGGTTCTCTCTTCTCAAGAAATCTTTTTGCTCTCTTAGTTTTAGGCTTTCTGTAACAACAAATTAATAGTTAAAGAATTAATATTAGTATCAACACCTGACATCACCAAAAACAGTGAAACTAAACAAGAGTTGGAACAAACAGTGTTCAACTGACTTGTTTCAATGACTCAAACTAAACCCAACCTACAATCAAGGCCAAAATCCCAGTCTCAGACCAATGTGTTTTACTGCCACTCTTCCCCCTCTCTGTCCCCCCAAGCTAGCAAAGGTGATTTTACAGTCTTGTGCTTTTCAGTCTCCCAGGTGCACTCTCTGCTGGGCTAAGAACTGGCTGGATGGCCCAGAGTGGTGGTGAATGGTGCCACATCCAGTTGGTGGCAGTCACTAGTGGTGTTCCCCAGGGGTCAGTGCTGGGCCCAGTGCTCTTTCATATCTTTGTATATGATCTAGATGAGGGGATTGAGTGCACCATCAGCAAGTTTGCAGATGACACCAAGTTGGGGGGGAGTGTGGATCCGCTGGAAGGCAGGAGGGCTCTGCAGAGGGACCATTGAGTCTATGATGATTCTCTGCTAATTTAGAGCTTAAGCTACACCAGAATTTGCAGCCTACCGGCAGGCTGAAAGCTTCCCCTCACACCAGCTCCCTCCCCAAGCCAGAGACTTGTATATAAGAAGAAAACAAAGCTCCTCCGAGACTGCTGATGGCACCACAATAAAACCTCACGTATGGCACATCTGTTGGCACAAAGCAGCCTGCAGCACCAGGCACCCCTCAGGTGAAATACAGCACGGACACAGAGCTCACATAAATCAGTAACCACATGGTCTAAAAACTCTGTTTCTCTAGTAGATTATCTTCCCCGTGAAGCCCAGGGAGGTGGTGGAGTCACCATCCCTGGAAGTGTTTCAGAGGTGTCTGGAGCTGACACTGGAGGATATGGTTTAGGGTTCAGGGGTTCCAGCAGAGTGACAGGTTAACGGTTAGACTCGATGATTTTAGAAGTCTCCTCCAACCTTGTTGATTCTATGTTCTCAGCATTATATTTAGTTTCTCTTAAAGAGCAACAAACCAAACCGCACACAGGTACTTCCTCCTCCTTGGCGCAGTTTTCCAGAGCCCGTTTCTCTCTGGTCGCCTCCCCCCAACCCTTCCCACTGCCGATCGCTCGCGTTTCCCAAATCCCAGGCAGGGAAGCTCAGCCCCTCACACTCACACCACGCGCTCCAGAGCATCCATCGCCGCGGCGGGAACAGCGACCGCGTCACATCCGCGGGAGGAGACAGGGAG